TTGAGAGTGTGTTGGGACTTAGTTTGATTCATAAATAAAAGCTCACTTCTTTAAGAGGTATAAGCTTGTCATCCTCTCTTTTACTTCTTATTCTATCTATTGCTATCTAGTTCTTGTAGTTGTGTGTTGCTTTGATTCTCTTCCAAGTGCTTAAGTTCGGGTTAGGAGAGCTACTAAAAGGGTAGAGAGAGTTAACACTCTTTTACACCTTTACCTATAGCTCAAACCCATGCTTTTACACCCTTTTCTTTGCTTTCTAAATTGATTTTCAGAGTTTCAAAGGGCTAAAAATCATTCTTCGAGGTTTCAAAAGTGGAAGGGTTAGACACCCCACCTTGTTCTTACTAGCTTTGTTTTCTCTCTTTGTTGTTTAACCTTTTAAGCTCTTTTCATGCACTGTGAGCCACCATTTTTCATCCATTAAGGGCTGTTTTAGGGCTGTCTTAGGTTGTTTAGTTAGTTCATGTTTTGATTAACTTGATTGTTGTCTTATAAGTTTGTATACACAGCTTGTTGAATATTGTTATAAGCTTTTCTTTAACTAATTTCCATGTTTAAGAACCTCATTTTAATAATCAACTTGCTATTCATTTCTTTCATTTGAGAGTTATTTCAATCGGTTGACAGTTATTCAAAACATGAACTAGAGACCTATGCTTTATGGCTTAATCTCTACGGAGGTTCATTGTCAACGGCGTAGTCTCTTTTTCATGTTGAGAATCACCTCCCGTTTGACATATTTCTCACTTAGTGGACGTAATCTTTAATGGAAGTAACAATTATCTTGGACTTAATGGATTAAAGGGTAGCAACAACTAATGAATCTAGCTTAAAATGAATCAACCCACGTAAAGAAAATGCGTTATATTGCTTGGGGTTCGGCCAGACGTTATGCCGCATCCATTGTGTCAAGGGTTGTCTTTCCCATGACAAAGAAGTATGAAAGAGACAAATAGAGTTCAAAACAACTTTGTCTGCACTGTTTTCAGTTCAGAGCACAAACAGAATTTTGCATGAAATTAAGGCACAGCCGGCCTTTTTTAGGCCCGACCAAGCTTCATTGAGGGCCAGCCGATCATCAATGTTTGGTTAGTAGTGTATTTTGTAGAAAACAGAGGGAAGTGGCTGAAGATGAAACATAGCAAGCCTAGGTAGACAAAGTTGTTCTTGGACACTATGCATGAAACCCTTGCGCATCCTCGCTTACATCATTATTATAAACTAATGCTCCGCGTATTGTTGTAATTAATTAGTTTATTTATTATTGTTATAATTTGTCTTCTTAATTATGAGTGTTGAAATTATCATTTGTAATTGTTGTAGCTAATTATCTTAGATAGCTAGTTTATTTCTCATTCTCATTATTTTCCTTGTTGTAATAGAGTAGTTGGCTAGTTAATTCTTTGCTTATTTATTCAACCGGTTCTGTAATAATTAGTTAATTTGGACTTTCGGACTTTGATTCGCACTCTCTTGCACGAGGGCAAATGTGTAATAAGTTGTATGTCTTCTAACCCCACGTCTTTCTGCTTTTTACTTACTTGCTTACGATGGTTAGAATAGAACATCATTTTTTTTCAAATTAGCATTCTTAACTGTTGCATCCATTATCTTGCATGCATCCAAGGTTCAGCTCATCATACTAACCCAATATCAATGTTCAAATTCATTACTTGAATATGTGTTTTACTGCATGTCTTGAATGGAATCATATCTCATGCTCATAGCCGAGCATACAAAATATATAATGTGTGTGTTGCATTTAGTCATATTGCATTAATTAGGAGCATGTATTTTTTTTTTTCTAATTATTTTGCTTTGTTTTTCGCTCAGAGTACTAGGTGAGCACTTTTGAGTTTTAGTATATCGTATAAGTGTGGTCGTTACCATGTCAAAGCATACTTCCATGAGGCTAATTGCTTAAATGATATAGTTGTTTGATTTCCTGTGGATGAAGGCTAATTACTTGAGTTGGGATAGTTTGATAATGTTCATTTTAAGTCCACTTTTTCAAGTTGCAAATTCACAAAACAATTTTCAAATAAAACATGAAATCAAATGTTCTAATTCTTGCAAATTAGTCTATAATTGTGTATATGTTACATAGTAAAAATAGCTAATAAATCGGAACAAGAGTATATAATGTAAATAAAAAATACATCATGATTAGTAGAGGTCGATCTTTGATAGGGCAAGAGGGGTGCTCAATTCATGACCTTTCCCCTCTCGTACCTATGTTCTCGAGCCAAGACACTTTGGTGATGACGGACTAATGGCCTTTGGCACAATCTTGGGTTTCCAAAATTTTTCAAAAATATTTAGGTGGTGACTCTATATCTGGAAAAGCAGTCTATTTTGGGCATTTTGATTCAAAATCGATTTTCCAAAAGATTTTTCGGATTTAGACTCTTTGGTGTTTATCTATTTCACATTGCATTTGTGAAATCAGATTCAAAACCGCAGGAGTCCGATGCTGTAGGGCTTATTCGTCTTTCAAAAGGAGCATGAAAAAGTCGAGCTACGAAGAAGTAGTGTAAAGAAGGCCAAGGTTATACCTCTTCAAGAGGAGTAACTCTTTGATTCCCAAACTCACAAGTAAGCACCCTCAAGAGCTGAAATTTAGACTCAAGAATCTCAGCAAGGAGTGCTACAATATTGGTTTAGGAAGTATAGGTAAGGTGTATGTGTGTTGCAAGATAGATATATATATATATATATATTTTCAAGAATTTGAGCTCTTGGAATTGTTTTCTAACCAAAAAACATAAGGTACGACCCTCTATATATAGAAAAATGGGTGCCTCAGTCAAAAATAACTATATAGAGCCAGCTGGTACAATGCATGCACATAAGGGAACAGCTAGCAGCAAAATATCTGCCAACCGAGAAACCTAGCCGACCGGCCAGGTGTGGGATAGCCGGCCATTAATTTCTAGCCAGCTGGCCACCTATTGGCCTGCAGGCCTCTAGGTGGTCAGGCTTGAAAAAGAAACAGGTTTTGGTCCAAAGGTGGTGCAAGGTTTTAGGCTCTGAAACTCGAGAACCGAAGCTTATTGCTGAGAAAATTGAGTGTATGTTCAATGTAGTATTTCATCATTGGGTGATCAACTTGAGGCCCCCAAGCCTTAAGGGTAGTCAAAAATGGGTGTCTACAATTGGCCGGCCAGCCAATTAATTTTTCTGCTCGGCCAAAGAGTTGGTCGGCCGGCCAACATATTGGCCTTGGCCTTGGCCTGACTATTTTGCATGAAACAAGATTTTTCAACAGAATTATCATTCTTTGCTCAATCTCCTGAGAAAACATTTCATTTTGAAGTTAAAAATGATTCTCAAAACATTACGGAAATACTCAGAACAAAGCATGAAAAGAAAGTTTCGAAAAAGAGTATTGAACAAGACTTAAACACTTGACAAAAACAGAAACACTTGACAAAAACAAGCTGAGGGTTGGAAAAAAAATTCAAATTCCACCTTTCTTATTGAGGATTTTTAGAGAGACACATTCTTATTTTCATTGTCAAGTAATCAAAAGTAAGTGCCTAAGTCTTAGTGTCACGCCCCACTTTTTATGTCAACGGATGCCATTACCAAATCCTTTATTATAACACAATTTCAGAGATCATGTACAGAAATTCAATACAATAATGAGTACTATTATTAAAGGTTCTCTCATTTGGATATGAAGTAAATGCGACATGAGTTAAAAATAAATAAATTGCCTTTAGGCTTACATCTTTTAAATTAAAAGAAAGGGTTTAACCCTTTTACATCAATGGCATTCCACCCATAAATAAAAGGCCCCGTGGCCAACACATAAAGAAGATGCTCGATCTTGAAAAACTTCTCGACGTTCACCTGAAAAAAGATTAGCAACTTGGGATGAACAAAAAGTCCAGTAGGGATCCCAATACGATCCTAAACAATAATAACATACAGATAACTATTATCATTAATGCTTTAAATCGTATCATATACATAATGTGATGGTTTATACAGAAATATACTTAATAAGAACCTTTCTCAAAATCATTCATTTCATTCAACAACATAAACAATTCACTTTTCTTTCTTCTTGTTACCTTTTACCAAAATTCATATGACAATAACAAATTCTTGAAAACAAATTCACAAAGCCCATTACATTTTCTCCCACTTTCCAGACTTACACCTGGTTTGCCTTTGTGAAACATGTTCACAAGTATTCGATGTCTTTCACATTATTCACAATCTCAATACAGTACCTACGTCCGGTTTATACATATTAATATCTATACATATATACATCTAATAACGAAAGGAAAACAATAGGCAACGAACAACTATCTACTCAACAAATGAGATAACTCAGCCTTCCTGAACCACTACAAGAAATTAGACTTTCGCCGACCAAAATCTTAGTCGCCAAAACCAATTAGCGACTAAATTTTTTTGTCGCCAACTTAGTCGCCTAAACCCTGTCGGCGAATGTTTCAGCGACTAAACGCAAGTTTGGTCGCTGAAAATGTAACATTTGGCTACTAATTTGTGTAGTCGGCAAATGTGACCCTTTGGCGACTAAAAAAATAGTCACCGAAAAGCTAATTTTTAGCTACTAAATTATTGGTCGCCAAACGTCAACATTTGGCTATTAAAGTTGGGTTAGTCGGCAAAAGTTATATTTTTGGCGACCAAAATATTAGTCACCGAAAGTTATAACAAAACTAATTTGAACTATTTAGAGACTAAAGTTTTAGTCGCTAATTGCACTATTTGCTGACCATGGCATTTAGTCGCCAAAGGATGCCAACTTTTATTCATTTTCCTACTACATTATTAGTGGCCAAAACATTTGAAAATAGTTTTTGGCTACCAAAATAGTTAGTAGCCAAATACTATATTAGAATTTTTTTTTTTAAATTTCTAAACCACCTGTATCCATTATTAGTACAACCTATACAATGTATAAACAACAAAATCCATCAATACTAAATATATATTATCAACCATTGGACAATGTGCATGCCAAAAATTCCATTCGACATCCAATTCCATTCCATTCCACATATGTAATACAAATTCCATACAACCCAAGTATATTCCAACCTCAATAATTTAGTAATACAAAATATGTAATACAAAATATATTCCCTCCATTCGACATATGTAATACAAAATATCAACCTGATAATCAATTCTAAAATTAGTAAATAAAATTGGAGTGTAAAATATACAATTCTGGTGCTGCATTCTTAAATATACATTCATTTCTGACTTTCCACAAGGACCAAAGAGTTATTGTTAGGATGGCTCCCCCCACCCAACACACACACACACACACACACACACACACACACACTATGGATACCTGCAGTGGGAAGGGAAATAGCAGGTGCACCTCACTCTCGTGATTCTCTTCTTGTCCTTCTTCCACACCATATGGGTCCTGACCAGAGCTTGTGAAGGAGAGTACAATTCATTGTTGCTAGAGCACAGCTGAAATGAGTAAAGACATAAAATGAATCCCACTGGGTTGAATTTGAAATTAGGTGATTATAAATATGATACATACACATTTATATATTTTTTTGATGGTGAATTAATTTAAATAAATCTCATAAAAAACTAAATGCTCAAATACTTTCGTGATACTTGCCATCAACAATCCCCATTTTGTGTTGATTCTAAATAACTTACAATCTTGCTTTCCCCAGTCATGCTAGATTCATCGATGGCAAGAGAATGACCATAAATTATGATTCCATCTGCTGGGACCTGGGAAAAATGGAAAGGTAACAAACTATTTTTTCTCGCGTTCATAAGCAGTAATATCTACAATTGCAATAGTTGATTCAAATATTTTCTCTCATACCACCTCTTGCAACCTGCATAATAATTCATAAAAATAACAATTTAGCATCCTAAGGTTAATAGATTAAAAATAAAGTAAATGCTTCATGTTGTAATTGCACACCTCCAATTGTATATTTCTCTTTTTTTGTAATTCACACCTCCAATAATGTAACCAGGTACTCATTAATTCTCCAAATTTCAGATTTGGTTTTTCCTCATGATGAACTAAATGTAGCCCCTGTGGTTTGGGCCATGTACACATAAGCCCCTGTCATTTGGAAATAAGCACGTAACCTCTAATTGTTTGTGGATTAAAACACACCGCTAATATGTATTAACGAAACTTTGAATTGATGAAAATACCCCAATCTTCTTCCTCTCTTCTGAACTAAACCCCTATACACACACACACACACACAAACACATGTATATCTATGTAAACCAACCACCAGCAATACCCTTCCCCACCACCCCTTCCTCCATTGCCACTATGGAACAATTTCCAACATATCAATACCCACAAAAAGTTGCACACATCTTGTTCGAACAAGGCATTCAGAATCATGTAATTATCAACCAAGGCATTCATAAGTACATTCATTCAAATAAACTTATCAGTAATAATTCTTGAGTAATTTATAATAAAAAGAAGTATTATTTCCCTTGAAAAGATATATAATTTTAATTTGGCCTTTAGCCATTACAAATTTAAATAATTTTACCTTAAGGCCCTACTTTAGACAATTTCTATGTTCGCTGCTAGTTTCTTTGGGTCGCCCTCTTATCAAGTACGTACATCTGAAATAATTCATTTTCTTACACATGCTATGAAATATGAAAATCTGAAAATATAAAAAGTACGTACACTTGCTATGAAATATGAAAATGCTCTCCACGAGGAAGAAATTCTGCACATTATGAAAGTAGTGATAAGGAATGGAAACATCTATATAATTGCTTCATTCAACCAATTTAATTTACCTCTGAGAATTGCAAAATTATCTGGGATAGCCTAAGGACCTTAAACCATCAATATGATAAGATAGCAACTCAAGCAACTCCAGCAGCAGCTGCTCAGGCTCACAACAACAGCAGTAGCTCAGCCACAGCTACAGCAGCAGAGCAGCTGCATCTCAGCCATAGCAGAGCAGAATAGCAACCAGCAACTTCAAAGCAAAAGCTCCAGCAGTCATGTGTATTATCAAGGCTAGGTAGTTAGTTTGTTAGAATTTAACTATAGTTTAGTCAGACTGTTATGGTTAGGTTTGCTATAGTTAGTTTGTTAGAATTTAACTAAAGCTCCAGTAGTCACGCGTGTATACTAGAATCTTTATGAAATTTACAACAAACACAAAATAGTGTTTTAACTGATAGGATCATGCAAAGAGATCATAACTTGAGGAAAAGAGATTATGGATTGAAGAACTTCAAGTATGTGAGTCTTATCAAGACATGCAAACAGAAATCCCTGAATCAGTGAGCTCCCAAAAATGAGGAGAGGGGAGCGGAAGGGGGGGATGAAAAAAAAAAGTGTTAATTTCTAACAACAAAATAACTAATGTTCATGTAAAAAACTAAACATTGCTCTTGCTAGCGAAGATGTAACAGGGTGACAGATGTTAACTAATGGCACATACCAACCCTGTGTTTGGATCTTGCGTTTGTAGAAGGAAAGTGAATATAAGATTCTACAACACTTATATACATTGTTAAGTGTATATAAGATTCTACAACACGTATATATATATATATATATATATATCTATTTTCACACATATATATGACACAGTTTTACATACCCAAATTACTCCTATACAGGACTTCAAATTTTTTATTCCAAGTTTAATTTTTTTCAATAATTTTCTTCCTATCTAGTATGTAATATGTTAAGTTTGTGGAGCTTGATAAATACTGTACATCTCACCTCGAGTATATTAAGGTATATATTAATCGTATAGTAGAACTAGCGTAGTTAGATATTTCATTCAATGGGATCATTCAAAAAGTTGAGTTGAGAATTTTATGACATAATTTTAATTCTACACAATCAATTAAAATTAACTTTGATTTTATCTATTCCCAACCATAACAATAGAGTGATTCAAATCAAATTACATATAAAAGTATGACAGGAGGACATGAATACTAGTTTTTTTGAATTCATTCAATGGGACATTAATTCTTTTTTTTTTTTTCAAAAAGAAGATAAAATTCTACATTTCAAAAACAAGAAAACGGTAAATTTCCCAATTGAGTTTTTGGAATCAATGCCCCCTTTGAAAGCTTAGATATCTTTACTACCAACATGCCTCCTAAAGCTCTATAATTATGTTTACATTATCTAATTATTAAATTCTGATATGTTTAATTTCCAGCCAATGGAAAGCCAACTTTGTTAATAGGGTTTGTACCAACTTAATTGCATTGTGCAGTTTCTGTTGGGGAACAAGTACATATATTGTTATGTTAGTACTGCATCGCGTAATATAAATAATAATTACACAAGACAAGTGAAATTCTACCTCAATTAATTGTGAAAACAAAAACACATTTTAACTCAGCACACGTTCAACATTAGAGTATGGCCATACCAAATTGAAGGAAACTGCATGGATTGAGATGTAGACAATCTCAATAAGACAATTCATGCTTATGACAGTGTATCCGCAATTGCAGTGGGAATGATCCACTTCCAACAGTGTTCCTTATTAGTCTGCAAACCAAACCACAATACAATAAATAAAAATAAAAAAAAAACTTTCAATCCAACAGGAAAGCTATCAAAGCATATAGCAATATAACTACTTTTAAGCAAGTCAATACTCAAATACTGGATTCAATTGTCACTAGATACCATCATTAGTTGAATCTGGTCCAAGAAAGCCCATAAACTCGAGGACATTTGGATAGAGGAGCAATTAATCATAGAATGGAAACAAATTAGTTACCTCATTTCTAGCAATTGCTTTGTCCATAGCTTCACATAATCCCTTTGTATCCTGACCACAACATTGCAAAGTCAGCAACGTTTGGACTCACCACAAACCCCTGTCATAAAGCAAATATAATCACAATGCTCCTTATTACAGGGCCTCACTGTCCCGGCATAAGCACAGCTAGTCTCCACAACCATCCAGATGAGATGTAATATCAGTAAAATAAGCATTTTTGATTTCTTAAGAGAACATTAATTATCATACAACATGAGAAGTAACAGTGTGTAGGATTCTATTATTTTGATTTCTTCTATTACTTTTTCTCTATGCCTTTTTTGAGAGAAAGATTGGGGAAAGAATACACTACAGTGAGAAAAGCAGGTACCATGACAGATAGAGACAACAATGGCATAAACATTTTTAGAAGAAGTGGATCCAAACTATTTGAATATGGGAAACAGAATAGCACAAAAGCAAAGCAATATTAGTATAAAGATGTTATAAAAGATTTTAAGAAATACCTCAACAGGCCATCCATCCACCACAAATACATCCAAAGAATAACCACCAGTAGTTGAGAACACGTGTGCCTCACGGATGTTAAGTCCTTTGTCAGAAAGCAAAGCAGAAAGCTAGAACAAAATGGTACAGAGTTAGAAGTCAACAGTCATGTAAAAAATAAAAAAACGAACAAAAAGAAAAGATAAGTCTACCAAATGGATGATAACGTCAACACACCTAATGAAGTGATGTGAGAAATCTATATATGAAAACACAGTCATCATCCACAAAATGGCATGAAATCAAACCCATTTACAACATCAAACCCATAAAACTCTAGTAATGAAACCACTTCAAACAAACCCATTTCAGAAATGAAGGCAAAATTAAATTGAATGGGTAGAATAAACAACCAGAGAGAAAGAGTTCACAGTTGGGGAAATGGAAGGGGTAGAGAGAGAGAGACAGAGAGAGAGAAAGTGAGTGAGAGCGAGACAGAGAGCGATAGAGCAAGAGAGTGAAAGGGAGTGAGAAAGAGAGCGAACCTGTTAGTGGCTGTGATGGTGCTGATTTACAGTGTACGGGGACCGACAGTGCTAAGGATGCGCGGTCATGGGGTTTGCAAAGAATTTTAAACTTGAAATAGATGTTGCAAGACAAGGTGACAACATAAATGACAAGCTCCGCTGTAATTAAGCGACATTCAACAAACCAATTACATGACTGAAGGAAGTCTATTGCAGGCATCTCAAGTGAGGCCAAAGAATAAAAAGTTGGATTTTAAACTATTGAGCATAATGGTAAAAGATATATATAATAAGAATTTCAAGTTCCACAGATAAGTACCTCTTCCCCCAACAGTTTGACCCGCTTCCTTGCAATGGTGCAATTTCATATCAACAAAACAAGACAATAATGGGCTAAATTCTAATCACCAAAACTGTATATGATTGTCATAAAGGTGTATTAAATCAGAAAAGGCAAAGTTCAAATAATTTGGACACTAACATGGGCATAATGATTGCGTCAAAAATAGTGCACTACTATATGAAAAATAAGGGTACATTGATAAAGGAACTAGTAACGATAAGATTGCTAGGCTTGAAGTTAGCTTCTGTTACCAAACAAATTTAAAATTAAAATCACTTACCGGCTTGGTGGTTGCCCACCAAACTGATATAAAAGAGTTTGCAGTAAAGTCAATCGTTGCTAAAATAGAGAAAACTGAAGTTAAGAAAGAGATGGAATGAAGAAAGAAAGAAACAACCCAACAATCGAAAATTAATCATTTTAGAAAATTCATTTTAGAAAGATGGTTTTAGAAAATTAATCATTTTACAGATGATAATAAGAATAGAACAACACTCACAAACTAAATCCACAATCGAAGCAGTTTTTTTAATTTTAAAAAAAATCCTAACTTTAAGCTAATTCCAACAACCCAACACGCAACGCAACACATACACAAAATATTGAAACTCCAATAAACAATCACATTAATCGCGAATTTCGATCGCTAAATGATGGGGAAAAAACAAAAAAAATAAAAAATTCACCTCGAGTTTTTTCAAGGCAACTGACTCGGACAGGCCAGTGATGCTCATGAAGGTCTCAATTGCTTCTTGATTGGATCTTGCCATTAGAGAAGTCCACGAATTTGCAGAGAGATTGAGAAAGGGTCTTGATTGTATTCTTTGAACTCACTTGTGTGTTTTTCCAGAACGAAAGAGAGAGAGAGAGAGAGATAAATTAGTGAACAAAAGAGGGGTTTACCTATCTTAGAAAAAAAGAGGAAATTTTAAGAGGTACCATCGCCTCAATTTTTAGAGGCAGATCACCCAAAAAAGAAAAATAAAAATAATTTTTTTTTCAAAATTAAAATTAATTTGAGAACTATAAAAATCAAAAATATATTTTAAAATTTTTTAAAATTATTTATGACTTCCTAAAAGATAAAATTATACAAAAATAATAATTATTTTTTTTATTTTTTCACCAAATTTTGTTTTCAGTTTTTCAAAAAAAAAATTGAAACAAGATTCTGAAAATAAAACCAAACATATTAAAATTGATAATCTAATATTCTTAGGAAAAGTTTAAATTATCTCAAATTTGCCATCTCAACTTAAGAGCGTGTTTGGGCTTAATGAGTTCATTTTGTGATCTAATTCAATAATCACTTTAATTTTACAATTCAATAACTAGAATATTTAAAACTCTTTGAAAAATTATAATAAAAACACAAATCACTAAACCCCCACATTTCACTAGAAAAAATTTTACCGACGAATAGTGTTATCGTCGCTAAATATAGTTTTGCCCATGAGAAATGGACATCGTGGCCAAAAGTGCAATTTCTTGTAGCGTGCCGACAAATATTTGGTCGCTAAAAGTAAATTAAATACCTACTAAATTATTTTCCGACTAAATATAAATTAAAAATATTAAATTATCTTAAATATTTGTCCTAATATGTTTTTTTACTGAAAAATATAATAATATATTTTAAAATATTATATTCTTATATTTTAAATGTTCTTAACAAATATGGTGCAAATGATGGAGAGAGAAATAGAGCAGAACTCACATCATCTTTAAGGTTATCCCCAACCATCATTACTTCATTAGGTTGAACTTCCCAAACAGAACAGATATGCTGGAAAGGGATTGATATATATTTAAGGGGGTCATCTCAGCCATCTATTTAAATAGACAAATGAATCATAGTCATTGAAATGTCTTAGTAGGACAATTGTCTCTAACATATTTTCAAAAACCGTTCTGTCTTATTATATAGATATTGTAAAATATACTTAATTTTTTTTGGGGACTCCTGCATGACTAACTAGGCACTAATCAATTTGATTTAGAATTTTAGAACATGCAATATGTATATTTTGTCATAGATAAAGACAGATGAAGAAATCATGTGTCAAGTGGATTTAATTAATTTATTACTAGTTTATTATATTAAATTTTTAATCACAAAATACACCCAAAATAAATTTTTTAATTTTCATTTGGCTACCAAACAATTTAGTAGCCAAAAGTAGGTCTACAGTGACTAAACGTTATTTTGTCGCTGAAAATATATGTTTGGCGACCAAAATTTTGGTCGCCGAAGATCAAAAATAAATTTTTTAATTTTCATTCGGCTACCAAACAATTTAGTAGCTAAAGGTGCCCCTACGGCTACTAAAATTTATTTTAGTCACCAATTGTGATATGTTTAGCTACTAAAAATTTTTTTAGTGGCCAATTGTAATATTTTTAGCTACTAAATTTATTTTAGTCGCTAACAATTAACATTCCCCTACTAAAAAAAATTAGTAGCTAAAAAGTTGACTTTTGCCGACTAAAATTAATTTTGGTAGCCAATTCCCACACTTTTGGCGACTAAATTTGTTTTGGTAGCCAAAAATGGTCGCCAAAAATGTTTTTTCTTGTAGTGAACCATAACCATCATAACCCATAATATACACAGATACACAGAGACAATAATGATAAATACATTTGGCTCTACGTGCCTTAAGCATGGTAAACCAAGGATACATCTTTCCATAACGAAATGCCAAATTACCAGACACAAGCTGGAAGGTAATGGTATCTCTGCTAATTTACTAGACATCGGCTGGAAGGTAATGGTACCTCTGCCAATTTACCAAACACTGACTGGAAGGTAATGGTACCTCTGCCAAGTTCTCCAGGCGCTAGCTTGGAGGTACCGGTACCTCTCATTCTAAGCGCGGCCAATTCTCTAGGTGCTAGCTGGAAGGTAATGGCACCCATCATTCGAAGCGCAGGCACATTCCCAACCATCACATAATTCAACAAATATAAATAAACCGAGTGTACTACATACACATAATCTATTCAACATCACAATATCATCCTCCACCGATAACCAAGGACAAAACCTCTAAGCATAAATATTTAAACACACATAATACAATAATCCGATGTTCGCTTGACCTTATGTCCCAACAATAATGATAATAACGATAATCAAAAGCTTTAAAATCCATCCGCAAGCATCAATTCTAGATTTATAATATGCCATGGTCTCTTTCTCTTATGAAAATCAACTCTTTTGCTTTCCAAGTTAACATGTTCAAATCTTTATGCAAAATCCATCCTCTTTAATTTACAAAAATAAATCCTCTTTAATTTACAAAAATAAATCCATTCTCCTTGTTTTGCAAAACCAAAATCCATACCCTTTGCTTTAGAAAAGAAAATCCACGAATGCCAAAGTCATAGCTCAACTCAAATTAACATGATTAATCAAGAATAATTCCAATACTATGGTTAATCCACCTTTTTATCAATTAACACAATCACACAATCCATATAATCAAGCATAAAATATTACACAACTTTCTCTCATCTTTAATCCATTAAGTCTATAATATTAAATTAGATCTTTTTCTCCCTCTCAACATCAACATGCTAAACTATTCCCCAAAGAACCCAAACAACAATTTATATAATAATTTCCAACCCCCAAGTAACAAACCCTAAATATCTTTCATATGATTTTTCAAAAAGAACTCCAATATACATGGCATTTTCGTAGTAAAAATGTACCACATAACTATCTATAGATGAAGTATTGAAGAGGAGCAAGAAATCCCTGCCTCTTTAAGCAAAGAGGAGACGACTCAAAAATCACTAGCGATGAAACCATGAACTACTCGGATCAATAGAAATCCCTTGAAAAGATCTACAACCTTTCCCAACAGACCAAGGTGAAGAGATGGCTCTAGGTGAGTAGATCTGAAGATCTAAGTGTGAAAAAGTTAGGTTTAAAGAGAGAAGAGAGAAGTCACGGTTGGAGAGAAAAAGAGAAGGAAAAGTAATGAGAGGAAAGTGTTTTGGAACCTGTTTGTAGTGGCTAGGAACTAATAGAACAATAACCCCAAAGTCAAATGAAAAGAACAAGTCAAAACCCCCCAAAGATTAGGGCCCAAACTGACCCAAAAATTTGAAAATTACATACAGGGGTCGACCCTTTAGGAAGAAAAGTTGAGACACTAATGTGTGTAGCAGGCAAGGGTCGACCCTTGGAATCCCTGGTGTCGACACTAAATTTCAGCAGCCAATTCTAGATTCAGTAATAGACAAGGGTCGACCCTTCCCAAACCGATGTCGACCCTTGAAGCTAACAACAAAAGGCAAGTGTCGACCCCAGAACAAGATTTCTAAGTTCCCAAACAACTTTTCAACGTAAACAAGCGTGAATGAACAATCCCAACAAGTTTAAATTGATTTGTACTCCTCTAAAACCAAGATATAACAACACCAAAGATTTCCAAAATAAAATAAAGGATTCAATACACTTCCCAAAAGCTTTAAAGGATACAAGTGCTACACTTAGGTCCAGTCAAAATAGGGTGTATACATTTGCCCCTCTTTGACAAAGCTCAAAGTCATTTCATGACGTGAGTGACTGTTAAAGCCCGAAGATGACCCTTTTGACATGGCCATAAGAATTAGGAAAACAAACAAGATGAAAATGTAGTTGGTTGAACCAGAGAGTTGCCTACGTATCCCTTTGCAAAGAATCAAACCAGCATAGTTCATGGGCAGTATGGCAATGACATGCTCAAAATACAATTGAAAGTTGGACTTACATGCTTCGCAAAGATGGTTTTGTTTTTCTTCTATTTGAAAGTTCATGATTTATGCAATGCAATGTAATAAGTAATATGCAAGACAAGCCTCGTGCAAATGATATGAAGCATAATAAAGGGTAAAATCCAAACACACTCACTTGAGAGGAGAAAAGAGGGTTTTAATCAACAAGTGAAACCTAAACTGTACCTCAATATGAAATACGGAACTGGTTTTAACCGAGTAAAGCAAAAATGAGTCTTAACCAACAAGTGAGACATAGATCGTACCTCAATACGAAATAGGGGACTGGTTTTAATTGGGTGAAGGGGAAATGGGTCTTAACTAATAAGAAACACCTAGACTATGCCTTATTACAAAATAGGAAACTGGTTGTAACTAGTTAACCAACAAG